GGTCAGGAGAGGTCTGCCACGCGCCATGTGGATCTCCTCCAGGGCAGGCGGGAATCGAACTCATGCGGAAGTGGGTTTAGATTCTCAGTGCTGTGCTTTTAACCCGCTGCGCCACCAGGGAGGGCCCCAGGGAGTCTTTTAATAATAACTAAAAGGTATTACGTATACCCCACCTTGTTACAAAGGGGGTCTATTGGAATTAGCTAACACACTTATGAAAATTAAATAGATAAAAAGGGGCCTATCAGGTGGCCTAGGGGTTGTGTCTCAGCACTGTTGCCCCGACTGCCTGAGTCGCTCCCCGGCCAGGGAGCTGACCCACCTGCCACAGAGATCTCCCCTGTCTCTCCCACTGAACCCCTCAGCAGTGTATTTCAGTAGATTTGCCTGCTCTGGTCCCCACTTTGTCTCCCACCCCCCACATCTCTGGCCTACACCTCTGTTCTTCTACACAAAGATAGATAAAATGTTTTTAAAAAGAGCAGGGTCAAATGAAAATAATTAATGAAGTAAGTTCACTTATCAGCACTTTGGGGTATACAAAAGAACTACCCCTTACATGTTAATCTCACTCCAACTATGGCACTGCCGTTGGCAGTCACACAACAGCACTGTAAGAGTGATATTATACCACTTTGCAGCTTAGAAAACTGATACTTATTAAATGGTGGGTAAAGATTTAGCTCAAAGCTCCATGTACAGTTAAATCACAAATTAGAACTGAAAAATGTGAATTTTATGGTGTCAGAACACAGGTTTTTCGGCGCTTATCACACCACTCCCCTAAGTCAGCAGGTCTGCTTTCTAGCCCATCCTCCAACTGGGGTGCCGAGCAAATCCTTCTGCAGCAGAACTCAGTCTTTTGCGGAAGGATGGGTGCCCTAGGGCTTATCAGATGCATCTCAGCAGTGCGCATCATAGGACCAGCTTCATTACCACTTTACAAACTGATGACTTGTATTTATGTCAGTTCTTGTGTTCCCAATGTAAGGGCTTACTTTTAATGGAACTGATTTTTCAGGCATGACTAACAGTCCAACTTGCGTTTACATTTGCTTACAGGATTAATCCACAGAGTCACATAATCTCAGGCTTTAAGGGATGCAAAGGCCATGCTGTCAAATCCCCTCATCCCAACTGTTAGGATCATTTTTGATGTCACACACAGCATGACTAGGTGCACCTTATATAAGCACATCCACCACAAAAAGGCAACTTCCAAACAGTAAGGCATCCAGCACTTGTAAGCACTAACTGCTGAGACTTCATTCTTCAGGGAAGTGAAAGGCCTACCATCAATCATCTGAGATAGCCACACATAAGCACTGTTCTACAAGTTTCTGCAGATTTCCGATTCAGAACAGAGTTTCAAGAAGGTCCCCAAAGAAAAGCAAAGGACTTAACCAGTAGAATTTCTAACTCTCTGAAAAGGCTAAAGAATAAAGCCTGAGGATTCCTATTCAACAGCTCCTGCAGTTAAAGGTCACTCAAAGGGTCCTGCACTTGCCCCAGGCATCTCAGCTCACACGGGCCAGAAGGCCTTTCTGCAGCAGCACTTTCTGCAGCCCTGAGATTGTCACAGACTCAGTGATAACCAGTCAGTGCTGAGAAACACACTTCAGACAGCTACAGACTCACAACTCAGGCTCTCCCGCTGGCGGCTGAGTGACTGTGGGTAAGTCAGCTGTGTCTCAATGTGCTCACAGCGCCATCTGCCTTGTAGGGCTGGGAGGAGGCTCTCCCTTTCAGCAAATGACAGCAACCGCTATCATCATGGGTGTCATTACTAAAAAGGAGGACTAGCCTTAAACCACCATAGGAGAGAAGTACCTGTTTCTGCAAAATAACCTGTTACAGAAGGAGGTACTACCAACTGTGACTGGTTAGTAAGGCCTAAGCCCAGATCTCTGGGAAAACAAACTCATATCTTAAATGATGCTCCTTGTCACTGCTAAGTGGTGGTCCTAAGAAGGCCTTATAGTGTCACACTGCACACCCACATCCTTCCTCTGCACCCAGGGAAGAGTTTTCCTGCTCCCCTTGCTAGCAGAGGTGCCAGACGTCTCACTCAGGGGACTGTCCTTGAACGTGGCAGGCCTCCCTGCTGCCAGAGTTCACCTCCTCCCCCTGGGCTCCGAGAGGGCAGCATGGCCATCTGGAACTCCTGTCAAAACTCCACAGGAGTAGCAAACACTAGTGTGGCAACCGTCACAGGCCATCTGAAAGATTTTGGTCATTTAATTTAGATTTCTGGCTTTGCTGTGAAGTTATGTTTCATCTGTCTTTCAGGAAAATACTTAAATTTTTCTTTTTCACCCTTAATTCAGTCTCTTCCTGTGTTATCCCTTAAAAGCTTGGAAGTAGCCAGAAAACCTGGATATTGCAATAGCCCTCTGGTGCCTGGGAATCTGCAAGAAGAGCTGTTTTTATAACCACGATACTACTTTCTCCTCTCTGAGAGGAGAATCCACTGGAAATCAACCCAAAACCTTACCCAAATCATAAAATTCTAGAGCCCCAAAAGGGATAGAGTTTGAAGACCCATATATTATTACATTGCTTCACACTCAAATTACTTCTCATTCTAACACCAGTATGATTTTTAAAAGGGAGCTTTCTAAACTCCTCTTTTAAAAAGTATGATTATATAAACAAAATACATGGAAAATTTATGAAAATGTGTAACCTAAGGAATTACAGCTGATGTTTTAAATGCCTGAAATGTCAGTTCCCTAGAAACAGGTAGAAAAATCTCAAAAATGGGATGATTTGAACATTAACACCTTACCCACACCTTAAAAAATACAATTCAATATGGAAAAGAACAGCTCAGATTTAAGTTTTAACTCGTTTTTAAAACGTAGGCATACATTCTCAACATATACATCAGCTGTGTTAGAATCAAGGCTCATCTGAGAAGCCTGAGCATGGTAAATGCATCAAATTAAAAGAGGAATGACTGGGGTGCTAAGATGAAGCACTCATGCATACACATTCCTACAATGTGGAAATCCAGTCTCTATGCTAGTCCCTCGAATCTGCTGCTCATATACTAGCATGTCAAAAAGGCTAAATCTGAGGCTTTAGAATATTTCTAGAACATCAGGATAATGCAACATGCTTTGCATCACCCAAATATTAAAAGCTCTTGATTGCACATTAATTTTAAAATATTTAAGAGTATATAAAAACTGACCCCATCCCCAGCTAAAGAGGCACCCAAGCTGGTCCAGCTCAGCAGTGACTAATTCTTTTTCTTACCTTTCTTCTGTGCTCACATACAGATTATAACTTAACCCTCCCAGGGTACAAGTTCACCACTAAGATTAACACTACACAGAAGGACATACCAACATTTTTAAAGGTGCTCAACAAAAGTGGAGGCAAAGCTGGAGGAGATGGGACCTCATACCATCAGCCTCTTGTGAACCTGACTCTGGCCAAATGGGTATTTATGCAAAGCGACATTAAAAATGATAAAAATACAATTTCCAAAAAACCCTGTGCATTTACAATTCCTCATGGCCACACTCAGGGTTAAGTGATCACTGGTAGACTGAAAAGTTCCTCACATTTTGCAGCACAGCGTGCACGCACATGGGCTGAGGTAGGTGTACCTGCCCACCTATGTGTGCCTATGTATGTGTGTGGGGGTAGGTGTTTTCCACATGCCCAGTTCATTCTGGGTAACAGCTTACCTGCCACTGGTTTCCTGTCTGACCAGGCACATAAGGAGTTGGGAGGCTCCGAAGACTGTTCTTCACAGGGGACCCCCCGAGAGGGTTTCCCACATCCCCAGAAGAAGAATCAGCAGCCAAGGCCATGGAGTACTGCGGGTAGTTGTACAGATTGTTGTAGTAAGGGAACAGAGATGGCTGGTAAAAGCTGCTGTAGTAGGTGGAGTCTGAAACCAGATCAGGTGTGTTCTCCATGTGCCCTCTGCTGGTGACAGCAGGAATATCCTGGATGACCATGCGTCCCTCTAGCAAGAGAAGAAAAAAAAGACAACATGGTATTAACGTGGGAATCCACAAAACTTCACCTCTACACCCTGACAACACACTGACTTCCTCCTCAACACCTGCAGAGTGCATTCAGGTACCTGAACATGTCTTATTCTGTATCCAAAATAACGAAGGATTTCTAAGTTTATCTTAAGTCTGGTGACACCAGTGACTCAAATTTTGAGTTATTTTTACTAAGGTCATTTTATTTTTATTTCTAAAGATTTATTTATTTATACATATAGAACTGTGGTACAGGCTAGAGGTGTGGGGTGAGAGGATTCACCAGAGACAGAGTGGGGAGCAGAACAGGCAGATCTATTGGAATACACTGCTGAGGGGAGCAGTGGATGAGGCAAGAGGTCTGCTGTGCCATGTGGGTCACTTCCCTTGCCAGGGATGGAACTCGTGCTGCAGGGGCTGCGCTTTAACCCGCTATGCTTTAACCCGCTGCACCAACAGGGAGGGCCTGAGGTCATTTTAGTTACATAGAACCTGCTGGACTAACACCTACCCAGAAATTCCTATTAGTGTCAAGAGATTAGAGATCAAACTCAGTCAATGTGACTGTCTGCAGCAGTACAGGAATATTACTTGCACTTCACTTTAAATAAAGTCATTTTTACAATTCCAGTGTCCTTAACTATGATAACCATTTCCACAGGCCAGAAAGTCAAAGCAAGAGGTTAAGAAGTGAAACAAACATTGTTTCCTTCACTTCCTTGGTCAGCTGATACTGTATCCTTCAGAAGTCTGGACAATGGTATAGACCAAGGGCTGACAAACTTCTGCAAGAGGTCAGTCAGTAACTATTTTAGGCTTTGTGGCCATTGGGACCAAGAAAATAGATGTCTGCTGGGCTGGGCTGTAATTAGACTTTATTCACAAAACTGGAGGACAGTGGGACCTTCAGGAAGGCAAAGAGATGGCAAACTGGTGAGAGCAGAAGCCTGAATGTGGCAGGAGAGAGAGAACTTGGAAAGTTCTGCCCAATCAATATGCTAGAAGTACACTGCAGGTGGGGAGAAACGTGAAAATCTCAAGGTTAGCACTCACAGGACCCGCTGTGACTGGGAGCTGGGACTCCGATGTCTCGCCCAGAGATGCTGGGTAAGAGGAGGGTCTGTGGAGAGGAGGAAGGAGTTGTCAGGGAAGAGCATGTTCCGAGAGGAGAAAGGCAGCCAAGGAGGGGCTCATTAGAAATCTCGAAAAGAACACAATGTCACAGAGGCCAAAGATGACATGAAGATCAGAGGCGACAGGTCTGATGCTGTCAGACCAAGCAAAATCAGTCTGGAAAAGAACTCCAGAGGGCTAGGTCTTCAGGGCTTTTTTTTTTTTTTTTTTTTAATAGCAGAAGGGGTTTATCATAGCAGAAGGTGCACAAGCAAGAGCACCAGGGCCAAGTGAGCAACCAGGAAACAGGCAGTTAGTACAGTGGAGGGAGACTATGACCAAGTCTCTCACTGGAATGAATATAAAGTACTCTGGGCAGCCCTCCTCCCTCTTCTCCCCGTGCTCCTGGCTCACCCACAGCCTGGACAGTAGCCAGAACACGCGGTAGCAAGTATTTGCAAAAGGCATCAGTGAACAACTGTCTTTTAAGTAGCCTGGAATGAAAAATAAATGTAAATGAAGAAACAGAAAAGCTTCAGGAAATAAGATCTATTGATTTCATATTTAAATATAGTGATGGGTTGAACATAGCCAGGCAGGGAAAGGAAGCTGGTGGAGAGATAAGCCTGGCACTACCCATGTCCCAGGGCAGGTGTTCAGAAGCTTGAGTAGAAGGGAAAGAAAATAAGCAAGGGAGGCCATGGGTAAATTCTGGAAGATCTGGTGAAAGTGACGACAAATATATTTTTACAGGCACATTCCCAGGAGAGCCAAAGTCACTTCTCTAAAAGGATACCTACTCTATCCACCTTATGCTTCTGTAATGCACTGCCAACCCACTGTTTGATCACATTTCTTTTCCTCTCTCCTCCTCTTCCCAGCTAATGAGATGAGAGATAGCAAGTTCACTGCTCCACACTTGTTTGATGAGAGCATATGTCCTTCTCTCCTGAATGTCCCCTCCTATTTTAAACACCAATTTAGTGCACAATGGCTGGTGCTTCGTATCCAGTGATTTTGTTTTCAATGCCATGGCTTTACTGTTTAATCGTAAAAGCAACAAAATCCTCAGAGAAATTAATAAAGAATTTGGATGCTTAAATTAGAAAAGGAATGAATGACATGGTGCTAGCCTAGGGATGAGCACTAGCGGGATATCCGTATAGACCTCAGACATTTAGAATGGCACTTTAGAGACTTATCCCTGTCCTTTCAGGGGAAAGACCTAGACACTCCTTAGGATCTGGCTTCAGACCAAAGTTCCTCATAGGGAAAATAAAATACAGTACAGGGAAAGAATGAAACAGGTTTCACAATTCTGGGATCAAGGCAAATGTTCCTGAATTTCTGAGTTAGAACATATGACCAGGCCACAGTTTACTCCACAACAAAATATCAGTAATTGCTCGAGGAAACAGGAGAATGGCTTCACTAAATAGACCCCCAAAAATCCCCACCTCTGGTTAAAGCAAGGATTCCTTTGGATACTATTAATTGTAATTAGTTAACAAGCACATCACTTTTCCACTTACCTGTATTTTATTTCCTTTTTCAAATTATAGTGAACTTTAAAAATCAAGTAAGATAAAGCGGTCATTTTATAGCTGGACCTAAATAATAAAATCACTACCTCTTTTAAAGTGCAGATGCCGAAATATTTTACACTCTTAAGATGTTTCAGAACTCTTAAAAAACAACATTTTTAACAACTGAGAGAAGCTATGTCCCAGGGACAACTGGAACTGCCAAATTCAATTTAATTAGCCACCAAGATGAATTACACAGCTCCAAATACGTCCATGTTAAGAACTGCTGTATGTCTCCAGGCCTTATGTACATGTGGCCAATTCATGGAAATTTCCCAAAGTTAAATACGTGCCTGTCAAACTACTTGTGTCTAACCCTGTGGTTCCCAGTGTGAATCAGCACCAGCATCACCTGTAACTTGTTCAAATGCACATTATGGAACTTCATCCCTGACTCACTGAATCAGAAACTCTGAGAGTCGGTGCAGTCAGCAATCTGAGTTTTAACCAAACCGTTAGGAGGTTCTGAAGTGCCCCCAAAAAATGGAGTAAGAACCAGGGATTTATGCTGAAGACTGAAAGCAAATGCTCGCTGACCACCCTGCTCTGCCAGTCCTGGCTGGTTGCCAAGGAAGAGCATACAAGGTTGTTCACTGGAAAAGACGCTGCGGCCTCTTCCACCAGCCGTGGGGCTGTGTTGAGTGTTGTAGCTGAGCAGTCACGACGTTCAAGGCCTGCACCTAGGTTTCCTTCATATATTCTAACCACAAAGCTCATCTCCAGGATTTCTTCCAACTTGACAAATTATGTGTTAGGCACCTACTATTTGCCAGGCACTTTGCTGCTGTAACATCGACGTCAAACTTCATACTCTTCATGAGGCTTTGGAACTATTCAGAAGAGTGACTCATTTAAAAAATAATTTATTCTTGGACCTTAAGGTGTATTTTTATATTTATATTTGATTCAATCATTTGTTATTATAGAACAACTATGTTCAAAATGTGGCTTTGGACGGTGTTAAAGGCACAAAGAAACAGTTGTATTTGGAATGTTTCATTTATTCTTTTTTAAAATAATTTTTCTGATTAAAAAATATTTTACATAGAACTGGAGTGTAGGACAGACATACAGGGTGTTGAAAGGATTCACCAGAGACAGTGAGGGGAGCAGCGGGCAAAACAGCAAAGGTTTGCTGGACCATGTGGTTCACCTCACTGGCCTAGGATGGAACTCAGGCTGAGACTTAACCCCTAGGCCATCACAACAATCTCTGTGAAAGAATGTTTCATTTTTTCTTAAAAATTTGTCATCTATTTGTGAAAATTAGACATAGACTGAGCCTAGCTGCCACCACAACAGTATCTGAACCATATACAGAGTTGAAAATCATTGTCTGTTACCGCAATAAAAATGTAAAATATTTAAGTAAATGCCACCACATGTCTCTACAGTTGGGTGTCAGCAAAGCCTCATGAAGACATGGGCTGGGGTGGAGGGGATTTACAGAGACAGCGGGGAGGTACTCGAAAAGGAGACTCATAGGGTTATGAAGGAGGAAAAGGGACAGAGGGGACATGAGTCTGGCTGGACTGCAGGGGTCTCGTCACGGGACAAGGAGTGATGTTAACAGAAGGTTGCTCCAGGACTGAGGTTAGGCCTTGAATGTGAATGCCAGCCAAGGAGCTCTGATGTCAAATAAAGGTTCACAGAGCAAAGAAGCAATGTTAAAATGTGTGAGAAAACTAAGATAACCCAAGAAAAAGGTCTAGGAGAAAGGACGAAGCTAAAACTTCATTCTGTAAGAGGCTTAGGTGGGTAATGCAAAGTCTTCTACAGAGAGAGAAGTAGAGACAAAACCTACAGACTGGAATAAACTAGATGCTTTTAATACTTCTCTGAAGAGGAAATCATGAGCTTGCACACATGGCAGTGGGTAAAAATAATTTCATGAAAATCACTGCTATGTCTGGTGTTCTGCAATTTTCCTTCAAACAAGAACTGTTACACTGTTAATACCAATCACCCAGGGGCCAGGGAAGCCATCCAGCTTCCCTTCCAGATCTTGTTCAAATGCACAGTGATTATACTGCTCTCCTGAGCCTAAGAGGGAGAATATTCCTCTAAATGACAGAAAATAAGGATACAAGTGGGATAAACTCTCTTTCCAACCGCTGCTGCAGAAATCCTCAAAGAGTAACTGGAGGTATTCTCTTCAACACTGAGGTATCACAAGAGCTGTTAAAATCAAGACTGTTTCTGGGCAGCAGGTTATAAAGCACAGCACTAAGAAGCTAAAGCCACTTCAGCATGAGTTCAACCCCACCCCAGAGGTG